TAGTTTAGTGGTTAGACCTTGCATTGGGGTCCTAAGTTTGATCTCACCCAAGTTATTCATACTGTCCTTATTATTTTATCAATAAGATGACACATGTTGTTATCTTATTGGATGATATTAATTTATCAAAGAAAATAACATACAAATATGTTCGATGTTTTAGTGACCAAAATAAAAGTTTTTCTTAACGATGATGACTTCAATGAAAGTTCTCTAATTTTGAAAATCAAAGTGGAAGTTTATTAACTTTAGTGATCAATAAACTACCACTAATAAACACCCTAGATTAATAAAAAAAATTAGTTTAGTTGACGGTTTTAAATGGGATGGGTTTACAATTTGGCGGTTATAAGAGCCGGATCAAACCAACTGGTCGAACCAGGAATCGACGGTTCATTCGGGGTGAACCGGAGGCTAATTGGTTTGTACAATTAAGCACATATCAAGATCCATATCAATCCCACAAGGAAACCTCACGTGCTTTTGGATATGGGATAGACGTATACCTTGCAATTAAGCACGTATCAAGTTCTCCTGCTCCAACTCTTTGGTCTTAAGAATGCTGGCTTAACCATATCTGACCCTGGTTGCCGGACCGAAGAACGGACGGCTAATGCATTCCACTTACCGACCAAAATATCATAAACGGGCAAACGAGAGCGTCTACCTAGTAACTTCATGCTAGTTATTGTTTGTATTTCATAGGAGTTCGACACAAAAAATTGTTTTACGATGATAGGTAACAATTACAGTTAACAAATGAAGACCATGACAACCTATATTTCCATAACCATGTGCAAGAGAGAGTATTACTATTTCCAAAAGTTATAGGCCAACAAAACCTCGTCAATTAGATCAACCAGACTCCGAAATCGAATTAGTGGCAACGCAAAACCTCACCGAAAGCATTGACTCCTAAATCTCACTCCTGTTTCATGTTTCAATATTGCTAACACTCGCCAATCAACGAATTCCAAAAGAGAAAAACAAACTTTTCTTCGATGGGAATTTCGCTCAAACTAAACTCATTTTGCATAACTCCTGGTAATAGAGAATCCACAGCAGAGTTAAGATCATACATGATGACTTAGTGTGGTTTAGGGAAAGAACCAGACCTTGATGAAGATTGCAAGGGCCATTTGCAACAAGAATGCAGCAACCACCATAATTGTAAGGTCGTTCACCCCCTCGATATAAGATCTTAAATTCAAGTAAACAAAGCATGACGAGGCCATACCAGCGATTAGTATAATCATCCATCGGAGAAACTCCACTGGAATAAGCAGTAGGAACTGCAAATATGTCATATAGTACAGTCAGATGATTGTAAAAGAAATTATGATCAATATATTTGAGCTCCAAAATGATACAAAAATAGAAATCTATATGTGATCACCAGTTTAAAAGAACCCCAGAAGCATCGATGAATATGCAATTCCCGTCATCCATAGAAATAGAGAATAATTAAAAAGGAGATAGCTGTTGGACTTCAAATCTTCAATGGCAAGTTAAAGACTAATTTGGACCTTTAAACTTACCGCAGTTGGAATGAAAATGGAGAGAGAATAACCCCACATGCACCAAAATCGTATAAGGCTAGCATTTGAACCCAGATATTGAAGCAAGAAGTAAAATGCCAGTGGCACCACAACTGCATAACCGTAGATTCCAGAAGCTGCTACATTTACATAGCCAACATCAAAGCTCCAAGAAGTAGTGCCATCGGTACGCTTTTTCATAAGGTACGTGGCAAAGTTTCCAAAGGAAGAAAGCATGAAGACCAATGTAGTTGTGATCCAGATATGCCCATACCTAAATATAAGACAAAAATCAAGACAAATGAAGCTTTGATGCAAACAGCTTAGCATGTCTCATTTAGGCTTTGCTTGGTATGAAGGATGGAAAATTTGTTAATCAAAAGGTTGAGAATTTATTACTTTGAATCTCAACCATTTGGTAAACAAATTTTCCATCCTTCCTCATTTACATCCTTCGTACCAAGCAAAGCCTAAATGAGACTCACAGATCAAGAGGGGAAGGGGAAGCATACTCACAGATCAGGGTTAGCATCAATCTTGCTGAAAAAATCTCCACCAGTAGGATAAAACGAACTGATCAGCCTGTTTATCACAACATCTGTATCCACGTTAAAATACTGTGTGTATGATGAGATATTAAACACTCCCTTCCAGTTTTTTGGTGGCTGTTGTTCAAGGCTTTCTGCATATGATAGACAAAGGGGTAGAAACATTCCTTCAATTACACTAAATAAAAGCATTAAAATGTTACCGTGAGTGAATTACAACAGACAGCAATGCAGATGATAGTAACTTAACCACAATATCCTAAGGCTAAGGTGTTTTAGAACATGAATGAATAATCAATGGTCTGTGTTCCTTAGTCCGAAGAGGGGCACACAATCAAAAAAATAAAGAAAGAGAGTACTCAAGGAATGATAAGACACACACACACAAACATAAACAAAACCACAAAAGGTATATGCATCATGTGAAGGTTTCTTTTGGAAGTGATCGAGATATTGGCTACATCAACTGTATGAAGATACTGAATCATCCTTTTAATAACATTCACCATGGACTGCATTTTACAAAATGAAAATCGGTGACCACAAAAATAGAAGGCAACGAATGCAATGTATTCTCCCCATTCAAATTTAAAGGGTGTCGAAAACATAAACCTTGCTTGATAACTTTTCCTAAGATACCAGATTTAACTTCCAAAAAGAAGATCCACTTAGTTCAAAGATCAAATCTCCCAATACTTCAACCTAAATGCCATTACTTTGAAAAGCTTCTCTTTCTTTCAGTTAACACCAATAACAAATTTTCCTTACGATAGCCACTCTTCAAGACACTGATCATTCAAACGTAGCAGATTTCCAATTTCATCATAACATTTCATAACTGAAAAAGAAAAAAGATCGATAAATGAATAAAGTTCAATATACCAGTTGGAGCTTCAAGAGTTTGATAACCTCGGCCTCTACTTCCTCCGCTGCCATTATTCGGAGGGAAATATTGAATATTCGCTTCAGGAACTGCACAATTTTAATTTATAATTAATGTAAACAAATTCGCAATTAATCTAAACAAACTTCTCCAAAATAACAAAAGTACCTGCAAATGAGGCCTTCTTTTCTTCATTTATAACAGACTGAAATCCGGATGAAAATCGAAATCAAATTACGCTAAAATGCCGAATCCTAACAATTAAATTCGAAAAAATCAATAAAAAATCGTAAAAATTAAGAGGAATTACTGGAACTGAGCCGAGTAAATGACTGGTTGGAAGATTTGAATACGACGATGAATCATCCATTGAAAAATAAGAGATCGAATCAAGAAATGAACAGAAAGTGTGATTTTCTTGAAGAAAAATTGGGGAAAACGATGCGTTTTGCCCTATATCGGAAGCAACGGAGACGGCGAGGGGAGGAAGATATCGAAATACTCGACGGATCAACGATACACAACTGAAAGCTATCTGTTCGTACGCGCCTTTTCTTGGAGCGTTGAGGATCACGCGTTTGTTGCTTTTTTTCTGTTTTCCAGCGAGGTTCAAATGATTTGGGTTTAATAATGGGCCTACTTGCTTTAAAAAAAATCTTTTTAATATATAATATCTAAATTATTAATAATTTATTAAAAACTATACTTATATATATATATATAGACATGATACGCTTATACTATATAAAATTAATAATTTTACATTAATTTATAGTCATTAGAATAAAATATATAAATGCCTTAAATTTAATTAAAATTTATAATACATAAATAAATATGTTTTAACTCACAGTAAAATAATATTCTTTTTACCCAAATCATAAATCTTAAATCCAAAAATTCTACTAAAAATCTTAAACTCTAACCTTAAAAATAAAAAATATTATTTTATTGTGAATTAAAAAAATTATTTCTGAATTATAAATTTTAATTCAATATAAATTATTTATTTATTTAAATTTAATAACTATAAATTAATGTAAAACTTATTAATTTTATATTTATATTTTTTTAACAAATAAAGTATAAAGACTAGCTTTAGGCTAAAAAGTGGGGATATTCCATATTTCTTTATAAGTGTGGATTGATAAAGAAAAGGGATCCCTAAATAATACATATATTCATTGAATGTTTTATATTATCAATTGAACATATATAAAATTGTTACTTTAGTAACGTGATTTGATCATTAGTTAATTAACTGTATTCATCTAATAAAGTTTGTTTGGACTAAAATTAAAAAATTAGGGTAAAATACTAACAATATAACATCAAAAATAGTCCCCAACATTTACCAAAATATTCATTTTGACCCATATTATTTTTTTGAGCATTTTAACCCCAATGTTTCACTTTGAGACAAAAACCCCCTCTATAGATGGAAACCATTAGTTAACGCAACGACTAATACTCCAAAATAGAGACCTTTTAACATAAAATGAAATGTTAAGAGTTAAAAGTTCCATAAAAACAAGGACCAAAGTGATTATTTTTCCATTAGGTGACTTTTTGCCCTAAAATAAAATATTGGGGGCTAAAATGCTCCAAAAAATAGAATATAGGGTAAAATGACCATTTTGGTAAATATTAGAGGCTAATTTTGTTATTATGCCAATGTTAAAAAAAATAAGAGACAAAACTGTCATTTATGCAAAAGTTGAGTAGTGACTTTGTCATTATGTCCATAATTGCCTCTTTGTAGTTATTTTTAATTTTTTTTATAAAATCATTTTTATTTTAATAAATATATATAATGAAATGTTTTTTTTAGTTAAAGGGAGTATTAAAACAAAGAAAGAATGATGTTTGGGCCATGGCCCAATAACATTGAATTTTGAGTTTCTCTTTTTGTCATTGATGTTTCAAAAATAAATTATTAATTTATAATGTTGTTAACGATCGGGTAACAAAATACTAATATAACACATTAAATCAATTGATGTGGCATCATTTAGTCACACAAGACAATCACGTTGACTGATTGTTTGATTCCCATCCATTTTTACCAAATTTTGGCGTACTGGAGTCTGACCAGTCATGGGAAGTGCATGTATGAATTATCAGATGAACCAAAGACCATTGCCGAAAACGTGTGTCAAGCTGAATGCATCCATCGTTGACCCCATATCCACCATGGGACCTTCTCGCGCTTTAACTCGAATTGTAGGGGATTGGAAACCATTTGTCGGGAAGCTAATTATAATATTATAGAGACCTAAATATATATATATATATATAAAGAATATTATTAATCTCTAAATATATTAAAATAAGAATAAATACGTATTTAGTACTTAAACTATTAATTTTTGATATATTTTAGTATCTAAACTTTATTTTTTTTCAAAACCATGTCTAACGTTTAATTTTTATTTCATTTTAATACCCACCCTTTAAAACTTAAAGCGTTTAAACTATCAGTTTTGGCTTAACTCTAAATTTTGAATAAAATACTAAAATAAAACAAAAACTAAAATTTTTAACAACAATGTACTAAAATAAACAAAAACTAAATTTTAAATATGATTTTAAAAAAAATCAAAAATTTAAGTACTAAAACATATCAAAACTAATAGTTTAAGTATTAAATGCATAATTTACTCTAAAAATAATTATAATATAATATCAAATTATATTTTTCATTATAAACTCGACCTTATCACTCGAAACTCGTCACATTCGATTCAAATACCAACCCTACATAAAAAAGATACTATACTCAAATCAAATTCGAATGGCTAAAAAGAGATCAATGATTTAAAGAGTTGCAATCCGTTGATTTATTGTTGGGTTCAGACATATGGACGGCTGTGATTATTTAATTCTTTTATTTTATTTTGTTTTAATAAAAATGAATCGAGTAATTATATATTTTTTTAATTATATAAAAATAAATAAATAAATCATTTTTAAAATTTCCTTTTAACAGTTTTAAGTTGGGGTAAGATAACCCTGTTAAAAATGCGAAAGTCTATCACCTGATTTATGGTTAAAAGTAGCCAAAATCGAGTACCGACTGAAAATGTTATCAGAAATATATTAGGTTTAACATAATATAAAAATATTACGTTATTAGTAATTGTAACCTAAAATGTAACGAAAAAGATAACATTTTTGTTAGCAACCCAAAATATTAAAAAAAATAATATTTTAGGTTAAAACCGAAAATGTACAAAAATATAACAGTTTAGTTGAAATCGAAAATATTACAAAAAAATATAACATTTTTTGTTAAAACCGAAAATATTATTTTTTTTTCTAAAACATTTTCGGTTACACCTAATTTACTCCGACTTTTAGCCTTAAATTTTAGGTTATACCGCAGAATTACCCGTTAAAAACTTCATTTCCAATCAACCGAGAAGCATTTCTATTCATGTTTCAGAATAATAAAAATCTTAGCTCAACATACGTAACCAATTTTTATCTAACAGAAGACAGGCCTCCTCGTGAAACAAAAGAGGGGATTCACTAACCTGACATGGGAATGCTGTTTAGTCAGGCACTTAAAGCAATTGACGCAGCTGCTGATTTTCTTTCCGGAGAGACTTGACCTCTTCCATCAGTTCAGCCTGGTTCTGTAACATGGAGCTCATCACACGGGACATCTCCGTCTGTCCAACAATTTCCACAAAATATTAGAGCCGAGGAACAGGTACGTTAGCAGCTGAAAGCCGAAGCAATATCAAAGAAAAAAAGGATGATAGGCAAATACCTCCTGCATGTGAAATTGTCGTAATATTTCAATGTGTAGGTTCCTCATGTCTCCATGAATGGATTTCTGGAATGAATCGAGGGTTTCTTCGAGAGTACGTTGAAATAGCTGAAGAGTGAAGTTACTTCCTTGTTGGGGATCTTGTTGAGGAGCTTTGTGGTGTTGTAATGTTCCTCCCTGTTATATTCAGAACCGATGAGCCGTCATGTCGGAAGAAAACTATGAAATCAGGGAGATTCCCAAGACCTCCACTCTTAAGAGCAAATGTATATAGAGAAACTAAATATAGAAAGGAGCAATTATTTAACCAAACCAGGTTGCATACATTCATAGCTGGAAGAACTCCCGATTCCGCTGCAATCAATGAATCGGACCTCGATAACAGGCTGTTAAACAGCTCTTCCCTGGTTTCAGTTCCTGTTTTCTTTGTTTTCGGAGAAGCCACCAAATGGGATGTTCCGTCACTGAAAGCGGATGTAGTACTAATTCTCTCGGCATATGTTGAAAACCTTCGAGGCAGTGCAAAAGATGCTAGTTTTGGTGAGTCAAGGCTGCCAGCTCCGGTAGTGCCTTTTGAACCAAAAGCTAAAGCAGACATGGAGCTTGAGGAGAAGTGCTCAGGTAATCCCAATGAGGTCTCCTGATTTGATGAAACGTCTCTAGTGCGCAGATTTTCATAGCTCAGGTTAGAAGCTGTTACCGAGCTAATACTTGCTTGACTGAGCGATGAAGATTGATCTTGTCCGGAATATATAGAGCTTGTTGTCAGACCACCAGAAGCTGGCATCCCAAAACGAGATGGCAGCTGGCGAAGGTGACTAAATTTATCGGACATCTTCTCACCACCCCAAGCTTCTGGAGGAGTGATGGAAGTCTCTTCACTCTTGGAAGATGGTGCAGGGGTAGATCCCAATGCTGTAAAAGACTTTGTGTCATCCTGAAAAAATTAGTCGTATACAAAATCGTAACGTGCAACAAAGACCCAAAAATTATAGCAACTTCACTAAAAAAGCCAAATTATGTATCAGCAACAGTTCAGTAGAAGATTTAGATTGATATTTTATACAGAAAAATCAAAATGAATATGCCATCCATTGCTCTCATCCAAATAAGATATCAAAAAGCGTAAAACCTGTTGAGACATTGAACTGGACTTCCAATCAAGTACTGGATGATCACTGGCTCCATCATCAGCAAAAGTGAACCTCCTGCTAGACGGAAACATCACGGAGGAAGGCTTCTTATCAGCGGGTAGGTGCTCTTTCTTTGCACCATCGTGACCATCCCACAGCTTATCCAGTGAGGGTGTAATCGGATGAATATCCACAAGAGGGGAGAATACCTCCATATCATCCTTGAAATTGAATGTAGAACGAGGAGCTTGCAATCTTGTCAGTGTTCCGCCTGTCCACAGATGGCTTCTAATTGGTGTGTCAAGAGAAGAGGACAGATTGAGTGAGCCTGACACTGATCTAGTACTACTAGTAAGAGAAGATACTGCTGCAGGACCTGCACGGCCAGTGGTACGAGAACCAGAAACTGCTGTGGATAATGAAAGGCTTGATGATGTCACAGATGGAAGTGGGTCGGGCATAAGAACTGAATCCTCCATTGCACCTCCCAAAAGAGCAGTCTCAGCAGTGCAAGTAGTCTCATTAACAATGGCTGGTTTTGATCTTTGCCAGCATAAACTTGAAACAGCCTGATAGATGCTATAAACACTTAGGATTTAAAATGATTAAAGGAATAAAACTTACACTTCCATTTACATAAAACACTTTGAAGTTAGCACAAACAAGCACGCAGAGACAGCCCATTATAAGTCATTAGTTCCATTATAGAACATCATCTTTTATACACATACCCTTCAAAATTATATATCAAATTCAGATTTCTTATGGGAAAATAGAAAGCAAGTGCAAACTAGAAGAACTTATCATGGCCTGGGTTTCTTTTTAAATTAAAAAGATATGCATAACTTAAAGAACTCTATTTTGGAGTACTTAATGAGAGAAGCTCCTCCTTCTCTCTAAAAATCAGGTGTTTTAGATAAGTTTTTCTATTTTCATTCCTTATCATTTCTCTTAATGGCGAGTAAGGTGAGAGTTCCGGTTGGGAAAAACTGTCACTGTGATCATTTTCAACATTCCAGAGAGTTTTCATTACAAAGGTCTTTGGTTATTTTTCGATAAATATGGCGAGGTGGTGGATTCTTTCATCCCCAATAAAAGAAGCAAGGGAGGAAGTAGGTTTGGTTTTGTTCGTTTCACCAGACTGGAGGATGCGAGGAAGGCTATCAACTGTGTTGATAGATCTTGGATTCAAGGCAACAAAATTAGAGTATTCATGGCGAGATATCTTCCTCGTGATGTTTTCTGGAGGAAGAAGTTCTCTGGTCCTTATTCAGTTGAGGGAAACAATGTAAGGAAGGATGTTAGTCACATGGTGGCTCCCATTGCTGGTTCTGTTGACGACAATAAATTCTCAACTCTCAAAGACAGCTTGTTAGGATGGTGCAGAATTTTTATTAAGTGGGTAGAGTCGTCTTCTTTTGAAGAGGTAGTCGTATCCCCGTTATCCAAGGTGAGGGAGCTCGTTGGTGCCTAGTTTCCTGAGCTGGAAGAGGGTTCTGAAGAAGCTGGAAGTTCCATTCACTCTTCGGAGGTGCAGTAGGCCGTGAGGTGTTCTGAGAATGAAGAAATTTTTTCTGCTGTTTGGGGACTAGTGCTAGAGGCAGCATCCTATCGGGTGAGGGTGTGGAGGACAGGAACATAGGAGAGGCTTTGATGATGGGTCCGAGGAGCGACGTTGGGGATCAGAGGATGGTTCTTTCCCAAATGGAGGGAGTGGGGGAACACAAGACATTGTTGGTGCATGCAGAGAGAGAAGCAGTGGATGTCTTTAAGGACACTTGTTTGCCTGCACGTGGTTTTGTGGAGAGTAAGGATTTTTTAATTAATTCTCCCATACAGGATGGTCTCTTAGTGTCAAAGGAATTGGAAGATGTGAGCCTAAAGGATAAAGTGGATCAGTTGGTTCACGTGGAGAGGGATAATGAAGTTGCCTTTAGGAAAAATAGTGAGTCTGCATGTGCTTTTGTAGGCTCAAAGGATTATTTTAATGATTTCCCCATGTTGGATGGTCGGGTTGAGATAAGGGGGTGGAGGAAGGGATTCACGAGGGCTGTTGTTACAACTACGCTTTCGTAAATCCAAAGGGTATCGCAAGGCAGTACATGAGACCTAAGGTGGGTTCTGGCAACAAATTTAGATCTAAACAATTTTTTCAAGGGAATTTTACAGCTCCTAAAAGAAAGTATAGGGGTTCCCGAAGCAAGAGCCATCAGAGTAAGGTGCATTGGGAGGAAGAGGTGTCTGTTTTTATGGCAATTCACTTATGAATCTGATTTTCCAGCATTGGGCAGTCTCAACAGAAGGATACGTTCAATTCCTTGCCTTTTGGGAAAGATTTGGGTTGTGAGTCTAATGGCGCAGTAGTGTATCTATTGTCGAAAGACGATGGCGGGGGAAGGAGTAGAAGGTTCAGGTGATCTACACTATGCTTTTTGTCTGGAGCTGGAAGTTCGGATGGTCTTTAGCCAACAAGACGTGGTGATGTGGTGGAAAGGCGGCCATATGCGTGTTTTTTTTGTTTTCTTTTCATGTGAAAGCTCCGTGGCCTTTGAGTTAGAAGTTGGCTTTTATGGTTTTAGTCAGCTGCCACCCTTGGCTTTTTTTCTGGTTGTTTTGTTTGATTGAGTGACTATCGGGCCTCGTTTAGGTTTTTTGTTTGGCCAGTCTTTTTTAGGCTGTTGTTGTTGCTTTGTTGGATTAGGCTGGTTCTGGTAGGATTGTTGGTGGTTGTTTTTGGTGTTTTGTTCATATTGGGGGTGGCTCCCTGGTTGTATCGTGTTCTTTCTATGGTTAATAAAATCTTAAGGCACTCTTTTCCTCCTTCCGCTGATTAAGGAGCTTCTCTATAAGCTCCTTTAATCATGAAGGAGGTTTTTAACGAGGCCTGCAATTCCTATCAAAAAAAAAAAGATATGCATAAAGCAAAAGATAACCAACCTCTGAACTACTATAAGCACGAAGAACAGTGAAAGGCTGTAGTTTTCCCCTGATATCATAGAATACCACTCTACCATTACCGGTGCCAGCTGCCAGTGTCCAACCATCATCTCTAAATGCCAGTGAAGAAAAAGGTGCCTCGTATGAAATGAAAGCTGATGGTCTTCTAGACCCTGAATCGTAAGTGTATAGCTTCTTATCCAACCCAACACTAGCAATTATCTGTCAAAAAGGAAAAAGGGACTTCACATGTCAAAATATTTAACTATTTTTGAAAGATGTCTTAACCATAGAAAAGTTTCCTTCATCTCAACCTTCCAGAAAAGGTCAGCGTATTCCTTTAACTAATCCTGAAAGAATGAACAGAAGAAATAAAAAGGAAATACTGAGACCTTATCATTGGAGGGTGAGAAACTAATGCCAGCTGTGGGAGCAGAATGCTGATTCAACCAAGAAACCTGTAAAAGCCAGTAGATTACATATATGCTTTAAACATCAAGAATATTAAGAGAGTCAGAGAGAAGGGAACCTTAGGGCTACGACCAGTGGTATCCCATAAATGGACAGATCCATCATCACCTGCAGTCACTAAAATGTGTCGACTAATCCGCGAATAATCAAGCACCTTTAGTTCCTGGTCTTAAAATCCACCAAAGGAAAATTAGCTAGCAAACAAGAATAAGAACTTAACATAAACACCCAAATGCAACAAGCTAAACACCTGTGCATCAGGATCTTTTAATTCAGCAGCCTTTGCCCCAGAAGCAAGGTTGTGAAGTATTAGATCCCCACTAAGGCTGATGGAAGCTAAGTGCTCGTCTTTGCAGTTGTACATTACACCTGTTATTGAGCTGGTATGACCCCTTAACCATTTGATGCAACGCTTCCGCTGCAAATCCCATATTCTTACAACTTGACCACTTCCCCCTGAACATATGTATCTGGATCCCTTGTTGCTAAAGCTAATAGCTAAAATAGACTCCTGCAAATATAAGGGAAATTCTGCTTTGTAAATTTGACTAGGAAGGCAATGGCAGTAATTACTTAAAATTCCGGTAGCCTTGTAAACCAATTAAGGAATGAAATCAACGAATTAGAAATATCAAGTGTCATCAACGAATAATAAATTCGGTGGTCAAGTCATAAAACCTCGTGGGTTCTAGTTTCCCAAATGAGAGCTCATACCTTTTTCTTCTTTAGGCATAAAACATTATAGCATCTAATTTGAGGAAATGAACATCATTATAGAGGAATGCAAAGCACTAAATGTTTGAAGCAAGCATTCCCAATTCCCATCCATGCTACTTAATCACATCCTCCTCTCATGCTACTTACCAGCATTGATGCTAGAAACATGTGATTGTATAGACAGAAAGAACAATTATATTTTGTTCATTATACTCCTAGACTACAAACAACAATGCACTGCACGACACGCTCACATTGATAAAGGAGAAACTTCAGAAAGCAATTGAATTTAAAACTGCTCTCTTTTGTTCATAAGTAACTCAATTTAAAACATGCACGAACCAAGTGACCTCAGTGGTTAAAGGATTGTTGTTATCCATTGGGGTCCCAAGTTCAAGCACCACATATGCCAGGGGTACAAGCGTTCATTATCAAATGGATGAAAGTATTTGAACATATACTACTTTGTATTCACCCCAAAATTATATATAAAAAAAAAGCTCAGTTTAAAACATGATTTAATAATCTACAACCAGCGTCATCCAAAAAATCTTTAAACCAGCTGCCAATCAACATCGCACATCCTATAGGTAACTTCTATTTCAACATGTAAGTAATTGAAGTTAATAGACCTTAGAGCATCGACAACACAGTTAGGGACAAAGAACATAACAATTTTGGAATTAACATGCATGATCTACCTAGAAATGAAAATATATCCCACTGACCCACTCCAAAAACTTATGTTTCAAATAATCAAACTATAAGTATTTCAACAATTTTCAACAGTTTAGGAATCGTAGAGAAGGATTGCCTCAATGTTATCTCCACTATTACTCCCATCAACCGGAATTGTCCCAATCCTCTGCCCATTTTTCCGCCACAAGGATATCTTCTTATCCTCTCCAGCACTCGCCACCACTAAATCTGCCATAACATTTGCTCAGCTGGAATCAGTTCAAATAGCTATACACAAGTAAAACCAAAACAGAACCGAACTGAATTTCTCAGTATAATTGCTAAATTCATCTTAAGCAAACTTCTAAACTTTTAAATGCAAATAATTAAATTAAAATAAGATCTTATCCCGTTTAACTCGATAAATCAATCATTTCAAATATTTTTTAACCTTTTTTTTCAAAAAAAGGCAAAAAGATAAGACAATTACGGCAACCGAACAGATCGTAACAGCAGGAATGTGAGGCGGAAAAAAAGGTTAATCGTTTTAAAAATAACAAAAAGGATGGAAGAACTTACTAGTGTGGTTCCACTTAACCGAGTTGACAACGCAACTCGGAGAAGGCGAGTAAGTCAAAACGCAAGGATCGTTCGGTTCGAGCTTAATGTCGAAGATCTTCACGGTGTCGCCGCCACTCGCTGCTAGTAACTCCGACGACGGATCCGATAGATTCATCGTAAATCTCTCTTGTTTAAGTAAAAAGAAACATATAATTTTCTCAGGAAAAAATTGAAACTCAAACGAAAGCCCGAAATGAAAATTAATTGGAATCTGGTGGTTAGAGAAGAGGAGAGTAAGTAAACCCTACGTCAAAGCAAAAGAAAGCGAGGAGGCCAACAATTTTTAATCTTTTTCCTTTCTAAATTTTGAAGTGTGTGGGCTCCTTTGTCCTTTATGATTTATAGTTTATAAATTTAAAAGTTGTGATTAAACTAATGGAGTTTAATTAAATTTCCTTTTATAGTTTTAATTGTTTTATAATTTAGAAATAATTAAATTTATAGATTCACTTTTTTTTAATTAATCACTAGTATATGATCTATTGACCGATTAATACAGAGGCGATGACACCCTCTCAACCAGTTTGCTCCATTCGCAAACGTCAGGATTCGAACCCCTGACCTTATTTAATGAACCTAATACTTCATCTCACTAAACCAACTGATTGTTAGTAAATTTATAGATCCACTTTAATAATAAAAAGAAAATATTTTAATCAACTACCACTATAAATGTATACATGTTGATTGGTTCACTCATTTTTCTTTTCTTCTTTTTTATGTACATAGTAGTTGTTAATTTTCTTTAAAAAAATTTAAATTATAATGATGATTTACAACTATAAGTGTAAATTAAACGCGTAATTAGAATATTTCATATAATAATTAACATAAAATTAGTCATTTAAGATCATATAAAGGCCATACAATGAAAATGTTAAAAACTCATCCAATAATTTCAAACAAAATAAAGATGTGAATAGATATAAATTTATCGGAAAGCGAATCATGACATGGATCAAACTTCTGAAAGATCACAGAAATCCGCGAATCAGAATTGAGCGTTGTAAGAAAATTATCTCTAAACACAAACCACATATCCAAATTCATTCGAAGATCTAAAACAAGATAGTAGTCGAGACGAAGTCAAATTCATCTCTAATAAAATTAAACAAGAAAGTCGAACAAATAACATATAAAAAGAACCGAAACATGTCAAAAGATAGATAAAAATAGGGATACACATGGGTTGGGTTAACTGAAACCCAACCCGATAATTTTTCATTCTCGACCGACCCGAAAAAGATATACCTCCACCCAACCCAGACCCAACCCTATTTTTTGAGATAAAATTCAAAAGTGACCTAAAATAATATATTTATTAAAAAATATTATTTTTATTTAATAGAAATAAGGATTTAATTAAAAAATAATATATGAAAGACTATTATTACAATTATCCATAAATATATAAGTTAAAATTACATTTTTCCCAGGTCGGGTCAGGTCAAATATTTTTTACACTAAACCAAAACTTGACTCGACCCGAACATAACCTCCAAAAAACCCAATCGATACCCAATTAAAAAAATATGAAATTCAACCCGATCGGGTCGGGTTAAGTCAAAATCCATCAGGTACAAGTCTCATTTCTATCCCTAGATAAAAACGTATCAAAAAATAGATGAAAACTTATCAAAACGTGTCATAAGACAAAACTATTAATTTTGAAAAAAAAACAAATATACAATATAAAAATAAAAATAATAAATACTGACAGTCGACAACCAGTACCAAAGCCGGTGCCTGTCGCTGACCAACAAAAACAAAGGAGAAGGCAAGCGGCACAAAATTAAAGGAAAAAGAAGACTAGGGCAACAAATAGAATACTAATTTAAACATTATCTCATATAACAATTATCTAATTAAGTCAATTTTAAGATATATTACTCGTCTTCCCTCAAAAGAACGTTTTTACCCTACAAACATTTGATTGCACAAGGCTCTAAATTGCAGCTAATCATCTCATAACATTTGATTGCACCTAATTATATATATCCATACAGACAACTCAATCAGTGAATAGTCCGAGAGGTACGAAAAACCGTTTCAAGGACGAACACGGCCACATTCTTTTTATTTGTTCCAACAACTCGGAGCACACCTATGAGCTGCCAGACCAGATATATCTATACATGCACAGCAGATTAGCTGCTATAAAGAAAAATATAGAGTTGCGGGTTATGCTACACGAAAGCAGACTCGAAACGTTTTTACCCTACAAAACGGTGTCCACAAAGGCGTCGCTTACATCTCTCTGGCAAGAGTTCGGAGCCTGCAATCTTCAGTTTCAACCATTTTTGGGACTGATAAGGATAACTACATTAGAGAAAAAGAGAAACGGTTAATAATACAAAGTAGCACTGATAGTTGTTTTGTCGTTTAATCGGATGAATAGCAAAGACTGATATATAAAAAATGAGAAACATAATTAACAATTATAATAAGCAATAGCATCATATGGATTTAAAGAGAAAAACATCCATTTTCTTCTTGTGCTGTATTCCGACTAACAAAACTACAAAACACATTACCGATCATCAATACTCTCACACCGGACAGAAGAGGAGGACATTGAAGGAGAAGAAAGCAGGCAATCGGGAAAGTGGATACTGAGGATAGGGGCTGATCACTAAGTTATACCATAGAAAGAAAATCACTTCCATTCTTCTCGATTAGAAGCCCTTTTTGTCTTTTCTCTATTTTGATGTGATCCAGGGAGAATCCTATGGCCTGAATCTTAAGAGAGAGAAAGAGGGTGATCAAAGAAGGTATTTTCTTTAGTTTCTAAACTTGGACCATCAAAAAATATCATGAGCGTTTCTAGATTGGTTTGACAAAAAGTGCTTTATGATAACGACGATTCAATATTGTTTCCACCTAAAAGCTTATGATTACAATTATTTAAATAACATCATAAACGTATTCAGACTGCACGAGATACCTGAAAATGCTAAAGCTTCTAAGTTCTAATACCATCCTGAGGGAAGTAACAACCACTAATAATGAAGAGGATATGACAAAGAAAATCATCAAAATCAATAAAAGATACAACTTTATTTAGCTGACCTTCGTAGAGACTTGCACGCCATTATATGTTGATAGCTGCAACCATTACATTTTAGTGGACATGAACTTTGCTTTTTTCTCTGCTGGCTTGAGAATCTGGAAAGAACACATCAGGTTGTCATCGACACTCATCATTGCACCAGCATTATCAAATTCACCACAATAGTTGGGTGCTGAAAATATTGTAACAAGTTGCCTATCAGCAAAGAATTCGTAACCATCCTCCACAACCTGCACAAAAATAACCAGCTTAACTTCAAAATAGAACATCATTAAACACAATAATGGGAAAGCCTAGTTAAGTCAACAACCTGATGTGCACGGCAGACAAGATCTAAATCATGCTTTGCCAAGAATTCAGACACCTTGTCTGGACCAAAGGTGTATGAAACTCCTCTGTCATTCATTCCCCATCCTTTCACCTCTCTATCAGGGTCAGACCAAAGCAAATCACACAGCAAACCGGTGTCAGGAATTGCAGTTGGTCGAGATAAGTTTCTAATTTGATCCAGGTTTGTCAAGTCAGGGGAAAGACCACCATGCATACACAATATTTTGTCGTCTATAAGAGCAGCCACGGGAAGGCAGTTAAAACAATCAGTAAAGCTTTTCCAAAGTCTCACATTAAACCGTCGCTTGCATTCATCATAAAATCCATATATCCGATTAATAGATGCACATTCATGGTTTCCTCGCAATAGAAAAAAGTTCTCCGGATACTTTATCTTATAAGCAAGTAAAAGACATATCGTTTCCAAACTCTGCTTGCCACGATCCACATAGTCGCCTAGAAATAGGTAATTGGCATGAGGTGGAAAACCCCCATACTCAAACAGCCTTAACAAATCACTATATTGCCCATGTATGTCACCTAAAAGAGAAACAAAAATTTTACAGTAAGAATCAATAAAATACAGGAAAATGATGGTAGCAGTGTTGTCAATGGTGCAAGGCACACTCTAGGCACTAGAACCCTTATATTGTCTCAGGCACATAGGACAAAGAAAGAAGTAGGCTCATTGAAGTGAACTGCAATAGGTATATCTGTAAGTACACACACACATATGCGAGTTTTTACAAGTCTCTGTGTGTACATATATGTGTGTAGATATATGATAAACTCTAAAGTGTGCTCTAGTTTACCTAAAAAAAGCATTTTATTTAGTTAAAATGCATGATTTCCTTACAGTCAATGTTTGAAGTTGAATGGTCATATATTGAGAAGCATAGGTTTCGATATTATCCCTCTCTTACTATTAAAGGTATATCAAATGAAAAAAAGTGAAAATAGAACAAATTAAAGAGAGATTCAATCGGGCAGGCTTTTTTTTTATGCCTATTGACCTCACAAAAAAGCAGGCGTCTTATGAAATAGGGCTCGCCTGAAAGGGCGCTTTTGTTTTATATTGCTAAGGCACAGTCGAGCCTAGGTGCACGCCTCAGTCCATTCAAGTTTACAATTAAATTTGCAGATGCCATACGCAGACTATATCATTTCAATTGCTTCACACATATTTTTCTATAAAAAGCAGGCGTCTTATGAAACAGGGCTCGCCTGAAAGCGCGCTTTTGTTTTATATTGCTAAGGCACAGTCGAGCCTAGGTGCACGCCTCAATTCATTCAAGTTTACAATTAAATTTGCAGATGCCATATGCAGACTATATCATTTCAATTGCTTCAAATATATTTTTCTACAGCTTCCAGCAATCAAACAGTTAAAAAGAAAACAACAGCAACCCAAATTCCTCCACCTTTCCATCTAAAAAGAGAGGTAAATTACGGTTTTAAAAAGGTGAACTTCATCTTTATCTGGTTCAGAAATCTATAATATTAAAACCCCATTAAAAAACCAAAAGAATCATATTCACTGAAAACTATTTATTCAACACTTACAAAAATGCAACCTTTACCAATCTATCACAACCTAATATTACTTATAAAAAACCCTCAGCTTTCCTTCAAAACCCACAAAATACTTTCTAATAAAAAACCCCCCAACGAAACATAAAGCTCAAATTCTATTCCTAAAGTTAAAAATTAAACCACCAAAAGAAAATTACCACAAATTTTGATGGGTGCTTCGAGTTCAAGCAAATTCGGCTGTTGAGAGAAGATGTCTTTTGAAGCAACGCAAAGCTGCTTGATCTCG